ACTCAGCTGAACGGCCCATTTAACAAGGCGCCCAGCCACGTCCATGGAGCCCAGTGTAGACTTGAGAGGTAAATTGGTGAGCACAACAATCGCATGCGCCTGGAAATAGGGGCGTAACTTGGTAGCGGCTGTCACGACTGCCAAAGCAGCCTTTTCAATAGGCGCGTACCGCTTCTCGTGTGGGCCCATCGTCTTGCTCACATAGTACACCGGCCTTTCTTCCCCCGTAGGCGCCTCTTTAGACACTAGTACCGCACTAACCGCCACGTCCGAGACCGCAATGTATAAATACAGGACCTCCCCGGCCTTGGGTGCCGTCATGACCGTGGGCGCCGCCAGTAGGCGCTTCAGGTCTTCGAACGCCTCGTTACACGCCTCGTCCCATTGGAAACGAACCGCTTTCTTTAGGATCCTGAAGAAGGGGGCAGCTTTATTGGCCGACCTTGGTATGAAGCGCCCCAAAGCTGCGAGTCGCCCCGCTAGGCCTTGTACTTCCTTAGGCGTCCTTGGCGGAGCGAGTTTGATGATGGCCTCCACTTGCTTCGGGTTTGCTTCAATCCCTCTCTTGGTGATCATGAAGCCTAAAAACTTGCCTACCTCCGCGCCGAAGACGCATTTCAGGGGGTTGAGCCGAAGATTGTGAAGGCGCATGGTTTCAAAGGTCTCTCTTAAATCACTTAGGTGATCTCCCCGTTTGCGACTCTTGACTATCAAATCGTCTACATATGCCTCCACGTTCCGCCCAATCTGCCGTTGGAAGACTGTATTCACCATGCGCTGATATGTGGCGCCCGCATTTTTAAGTCCAAATGCCATGACCCTATAGCAAAAGTTCCCGAAAGGCGTCATGAATGCGGTCTTCAACCGATCTTCTTCAGCCATGGGGATCTGATGGTACCCGGAAAACATGTCAAGGAAACTGAGCATCTCATGATAAGCCGTGGCGTCCACTAGCAGGTCTATGCGGGGCATCGGGTATGCGTCCGTCGGACACGCCCTGTTGAGACTCGTGAAATCCACACACATCCTCCAGTCTCCTGCTGGCTTGGGGACGAACACCACATTGGATAACCACGTGACATAGGTGGCCTCCTCAACAAACCCGGCGTCTAGGAGCCTATCCACTTCCACCCTAAGCATGGCCTCCTTTTCTTGGGAAAGGTTCCTTCTCTTCTGCTGAACCGGCCTCCTCCCTTCCTCCACTGCCAACTTATGCACAGCCGTCTCAGGCGCTACCCCGGGCATTTCTTTTGCACTCCACGCGAACAACTCCGCAAACTCTTTCAACAGAGCGACCAACTTCTCGACCATTTCGGGAGGCGCCTGGACCGAAATCCTGATCTGCCTTTCCGATCGCCCCTCATCCAAGGGGATCAGCAATTCTTCGTCGGCCGCCTCCGCTCTGGGCGCCTCCTCGGACGTAATCGCATTGATCCTTTGATTTTTACGAGGCCGCACGCCCTTAAGCATAGTATAAATGGGGGCGCCTCTTCCTCTTGCGATGCCCACTCCCTTCGGCGCTATGAACTTCAACGTCTGATGACAAGTGGACGCCACCCCATTGAACAAGGCCAAAAGGGGCCTGCCGAGTATAGCATTGTAGGGGGAGGGGCAATCCACAATCCCAAAATCGATAGCATGAGTGACCCGCTGCTCTTCATCGCCCAAAGTAACAGGGAGGCGCACGCGCCCTATTACCTTTGCGGGCGCCCCTGAGAACCCGACGAGCATCGAGTCCGACGGTCGAATTAAGTCAGGAGACAAGTGCATGCGCGCTACCGTATCCTTGAACAGCACGTCCATGGAACTCCCCGTATCCACGAGCATCCTCTTTACCATGCACCCCGCTACTATTCCTTGAATCTCCAGCGCCTCTAAGGAGGGTACCCCATAGGCTTCATCAGGCACCTGGTTGAAACTAATGCACACCCCTTCATGTCGATCAACCGATGCTGCTCTTAGGCGCCTGCTAGCTTCCAATTTCTCTCTCAAATCTCCGGTGCCTGTAATCGCGTCCACCGTTAGCCTCACCTTTTCAGGCGCCTTCTCCTGATCTAGCTCGAATGGAGGCGGGGGGAGATCCTCCTTGGGCCCCGCTTGGGCCACATATGCCCTATGCACCCTCTCTTCCGGTTTTTTGACGAACTCATTAAGCATGCCCCTGTCCACCAATCCTTGCAATTCAGTCTTCAACTGGTAACAATCAACTGTATTGTGCCCCAGTTCCCGATGGAAGTCACAAAATCGATCCAGATTCTGTGGGTTGGGTTGCCCCCTCATAGGCCCTGGCCATCTCACGTGGTACCCCTTATCTTTTACATATTGCAACACGTTCTTCGGCGAGTCGTTAAGCTCCGTGAATTGATTCATTTTGGGCGCCGGGCGCCCCTGATCATTCCTCCGCACCGGTGCGACCGATGCTCCTCCATAGAAGGGCCTAGACTCGGGCGCCTGCCTCCGTCCATCTCCTTCCTCTCCCCTAGGTCGGCGCCTGTCGGCCCGCCTTGATGCTAGCGCCTCCTCCAACACTATAACTTTCTGCACCCTTCGATCCAAATCTTCCGTAGACACCACATCCCTTTTAGCTAGCGCCCGACAAAGTTCCTCACTGGTGGTGCACTCCTCAAGGAGGACTCCAAGCACCGGGGGCTGCACGTCTCTTACCGCCATGGCCACCGGGATCCACCGCTCATAGAACTCCCTCAAGGTTTCTCCCTCCTTCTGCTTGATCTTGAATAGGGAGCCCACGGTCAGTGTGCGCCTCTTTCTACTTGCGAACTTAGCCAGGAACATCGCCGCAAATTGCTCAAAGCATTCTATGCGCCCTTCCTCGATCTGATGGTACCAATCTAATACGACGCCTGAGAATGTTGAGGGGAACACCTTGCATAAAGTTGCGTCCGAACTGTTGTACAGCTGCATTTTGGTGAAGTAGCTGTTGAGGTGGTCGTCCGGGTCCGCCGTACCATCATAGGTGGGAAGCGGCGGAATGTTGGTACTAGCGGGCTCCATGAGCACGCTCCGGGCCAAAGGCTGCCTTACCACAAACTGTCGATGCGGGCGCCCCGGCATCCATACGTTCCTCTCTCCCTCAGAATCTCCATAATCGGCCAGGCGCCTCATGCTGGCAAGGCGCCTCAGCGAGCTGGACTCCCCTTCAGCTTCCATCGTACGCTCCCTCTTCCTTACTCCGGGGCTTGGGGCGCCCTCCTTCAACATTTCCACCTCTCTCCTCAACATCCCAATGGCCTCGTCTTGATCGGCTATGATCTTGAACAGTTCCTTCTTAGTCACCGAGGCCCCATCTGAATCCGGGCGCGGGTCTTCACTTCCCTCATCCTCCCCCATGCTGGGCGTTCCTCCTCCTGCTTCTTGAGACGCCTCCTCCATGTGTTGCTCTTCCATCTCGCTTCCACCCTCTTCCATTGAAACTAGGCGCTCCCTGGTTGTGTTCGCCCCCCTTCCTGGCGCGCCAATTGTTGATGCCCACTCGATCGGCCTACTTTTCTTCCGTACCCGCTGACTCCCTCACGATTAAGCCTGCACTCACAGAGGTGGGCCTTGTGGCCCGTTCGTCCTCCAACGCTCAAGTCAGTAACTTTCTTGGTGAGAGAAGTGCTTACAATGCACAATTTTAGTGAGAGAAGCCAAATTGAGTAAATGCTTACCCACCTCCCTATTTATAGCCAATTACTGCTTACCTGGACCTTCTCGTACGGACTTCCACGTCAGCCCTACATTTAATGCGGATGACCCAGGGCGCTTCCTCCGAAGAAGATTCCAGGCGCCCTCTCCGAGTGTCCACAATTCCCCCGTGCATACCCGGGCACCTACGGTGCGAGTACTCCTAGGCGCCTAGTGTATGCAACTCCCAACTTGCTCCTGATCTAAGCCCGAGGGCGCCTATCATGGCCTACACCATCTTGAATGGGCTCACCTTTCCTCGACCTACTTGGGCTTCACGCCCCTTTAATGGGCCTTATACATACATCGGGGCCTCCTTATTCGTATACCCCCAACAATTTTCAACTTCTTTTTAGTTTTATGTTTTACATCTTTTGAAACAAAACACTTCAATACCAACTGCAATTGAAGAAGCTAGCTTGATAAGTTGCAGCCAAGGCTTGGTAGAAAAAAGAGACTGATTAGGGAATGCAGAACGCAGCAGAAGTCGTAAAATCCTGTAAAAGCGGGCCGGACGTTCCAAAAAGGGTGGAGGAGGCAGCCTTGTAATGTGATAAGTTATGTAACCCACTTTGATAGTTCGATTGTCGAGTTGGAAACTTGGAATGTTTTCGAGGGAAAAAAAGAGTACAGATTTTGAGCGATTAGGAAAAGATTTCGTATTAAATAAGTGAACAGTCCTTCACACTTCCTAAAAAGAATTTTATTAACTCGTATATGGTATACATTTTAGTCGATATGTCGAAAAATAAGATGTTATATTCCATTTTTTGTTTTTGTTAAAAAGAGTTCATCCGAATCTAGGTTGTGAAATCAATTTATATCGTTGCATAGGTTTAGTAAGTGGAATGGTTTGATGAGCGGTACAACCGATGTGTCGTTAAATAAATTATGTATAAATGTGAAAACCCATTACCATCATATGAATTTAAAAAGATAATTTGCTTACAATCTATATCTATATTTAAATAAAATACAACATAACAAACAACATAACAAATACCCATATTTAAATATAATATTTAACATAAACACCAAAACTTTTATATTTGAAGGGCTAAATTACACATTTGGTCACTCGAATTACATAAATCTTTCACGTTTGCCACTCGAATTACTGAGATTACAAAATCGGGACATTTGGTCACTGAGATTACAAAATCGGGACATGTTTAGTCACTAGAAAAAGTTAATATCAAATTTGGTCACTACAATTACTAAAATTGGACACATTTAGTCACTCGCCGTTAGTTGTCGTCCAACTCCGTTAAAAGAGTCCGTTATGTGCTGACGTGGCTAACGTGAGCGCCTAGTCAGCTCCGTTTTGGGCAGGAAATGGTCAAACCCGACCCGCCACGTCACTAAACCCAATTGGAATCGCCGATTTCAGCCTTGCCGTGTCTCCCTCCGGATTTCTCACCGTCGTAGCTTCCTACGGACAGAACGGGTGGAACGGCAAAATGGAGGAACTCTCCACCGATATCTACGTCTTCCTGACTCGGGATGGGACACAACGAGTCAAAATCGTCGAACACGGCGGGTGGCCGAGTTGGGTCGACGATTCGACCCTGTTCTTCCACAGAAAGAGCGAGGAAGATGGATGGATCAGCGTTTACAAGGCGATTCTACCGAATTCGGGACCGATCTCGACCGATTCGGTGACCGTGACTCGAATCACCCCGCCGGGAATCCACGCGTTCACTCCGGCGACTTCCCCGGGCAACACCGATTTCATCGCCGTCGCCACGAGAAGACCCACCTCGAGCTACCGCCACATAGAGCTCTTCGACCTCCGCGAGAACGAGTTCACCGAGTTGACCCGCTTCGTGTCCCCACAAACCCACCATCTCAACCCGTTCCTCTCGCCTAGTTAATTCTCAATACCTTTGATTGAACGGACGAAAGGCGATGGAGAAGGAGGGGCAGCAGTTGGGGGCTTGGGGACTGGAACAGGGGAAGGGGAAGGGGCAGGGGAATGGTTAGGTGGGTTAGGGTTTATTTCTGGGTCAGGGTTAATGGATTAGGTTGGGTTTAATATGTGGCGGGTTTAGTGACGTGGCGGGTCGGGTTTGACCATTTCCTGCCCAAAACGGCGCTGACTAGGCGCTCACGTTAGCCACGTCAGCACATAACGGACTCTTTTAACGGAGTTGGACGGCAACTAACGGCGAGTGACTAATTGTGTCCAATTTTAGTAATTGTAGTGACCAAATTTGATATTAACTTTTTCTAGTGACTAAACATGTCCCGATTTTGTAATCTCAGTGACCAAATGTGTCTTTAACCCGCAAACTACTGTTAATACAGAAATGCAGAGGGCTTTACATTTACATGCTTCTATGGGATAAAGAAATCAACCGTCGGTGCCCCAAACTCTTATCTATCTGATTTTGTGCTCTTATCGCAGCAGCTGTGAGCTACGCAGTACGTTTTCTGCAACACTCTCTTCCCCACTCTTTGCAACAAAAACAATATTGATTAAAATCCAGTTTGACAGGATGGCTGCTGCGGTGGTGGGAGGATCATTCCTCTCGGCTTTCCTCCAAGTCCTGTTTGACAGGATGGCATCTCCGCACTTCCTTGGCTTCTGCAAGCGGCAAAACCTCAACGACAAGTTGCTGAGAAAGCTCAAGACCCTGCTTAATTCTGTCAACGGAGTTCTCGACGATGCCGAGGAGAAGCAGATCATCAAGCCCTCGGTGGAGAAATGGCTCAACGAGCTCAAGGATGCTGTCTACGAAGCGGATGACTTACTGGACGAGATTGGGTATGAAGCTCTCAGATCAGAAGCAGAATCAGAATCAGAATCTGCAGCTCAGACCAACCCAAGAAAGGTATGGAACCTCTTAGCTTCTTACAACCCATTTCAGAAAGGTAGCGAGGAGAAGTTGAAAGATGTCATTGAGAGACTGCAAGACCTAGTTAGCCAGCTGGATGCCCTTGGTTTGAGGGAACACGATGCCCGTGAAGCCAGTGGCAGTGGGAGGAAGCAGTCACTGCTCAGAATACCCACAACTTCTCTTGTACAGGAATGTGATGTCTATGGCAGGGATGCCGATAAGGAAGCCATTGTCGATCGACTGATTTCAGACGATCCAAGGAGTGGTGATTTAGAGGTTGTTTTGATTGTGGGGATGGGTGGGATTGGTAAGACCACTCTAGCTCAGCTCGTGTATAATGATGAGAGGATTAAGGATAGATTTGGTTATCAGGCATGGGTTTGTGTTTCTGAAGAATACGACGTGTTCAGGGTTACCAAAGATGTGATTGAAGAGGTGACTCGGCAAGCCTGTGACATCCGCACCTTTAATCAGCTTCAGCTTGAGTTGAAAAGGATTTTGAAAGGCCAGAGGTTTCTACTTGTTCTTGATGATGTTTGGATTGACGAGGATGGGAAATGGGACATGTTGCAGATGCCATTCAAGTCTGGGGCTAAAGGAAGCAAGGTTATAGTGACCACACGCAACCAAAATGTTGCTTCAGTCATGGGAACCCGCTCCATTTATCACCTGAATCAGCTTGATAATGATGACTGCTGGCTGTTGTTTTCAAGACATGCATTTGGTGATGCTGATGAGTTTGCTGATCACCCTCATCTGGAAGTAGTTGGTCGAGAAGTAGTAAGAAAGTGCAAAGGCATACCTTTAGCTGCAAAAACACTTGGAGGTCTCTTGCACTCAGAAAGAGATGTCTACAAATGGGAGAAGGTCCTGAATAGCAATCTATGGGACTTGTCAAGTAACAAGATTCTCCCGGCACTAAAGTTGAGCTATTATTATCTTCCCTCTCATCTCAAACGATGCTTTGCTTACTGTGCTCTTTTTCCAGAGGATTATGAGTTCAGGAAGGATGAATTGGTCCTTTTATGGATGGCGAAGGGGTTTCTGATTCAGCCTGGAGGGCATAGTAATTTTGAAGAAATAGGAGAGCAGTACCTTCATGATCTTATCTCGAGATCCCTTTTTCAGCAATCAATTATTGATAAATCTTGTTTCACAATGCACGACCTTATCCATGACTTAGCCAAATTTGTGTCGGGGGAGTTGTGCTTCAGGTTAGAGGGCAGTGACTCGTGGAAGGTTTCTCAAATGACTCGTCATGTGTCACTTGAAACCGCTTGTTACAGTCCATCCGTACAGTTTGAGGCCATCAGCAGATATCCTTCTTTGCGTACTTTCCTTCCTCTCCATCGAGGATGGAGTTGGAAGAGTAGAAGCCTCGAGTGCACTGAATTGGGAAAAGATTTGCCTGTGAGTTGGGCAGACGTGTTCAGCGATTGGACTCAATCTATTGAAGGTGAGGTAGTGAACAATCTACTATCTTCACTTAAGCGCTTGAGAGTACTGTCTTTTTCTGGTTATGATGTGGCTGAGTTGTCAGTTTCAGTAGGCGGCTTGAAACACTTGAGATATCTTAATCTATCAGGAACGCATATAGAGAAGCTGTATGATTCAGTGAGCAGCTTATACAATTTGCAGACTCTGATATTGAATGACTGCAGAAAGCTAACTCTTTTGCCTGATTCATTTGGCAAGTTAAAGCAGCTGCAGCACTTGAATATCTTTCGAACATCAATAAGGAATTTACCTGAATCTTTCAGCTGCTTAATCAACTTACATTATCTTAACAATGGAGAGACAAAACTGAAGGAGATGCCGTCACAAATGGGTAAACTCTCAAACCTCAGGAAGTTGACTGATTTTGTTCTTGGTAAAGGAAGCGGATCTACTATTAAGGAGTTGGGACAGCTTCATTATCTTCATGAATCACTTACTATATGGAATCTTCAGTTTGTTAATGATGTTCGAGATGCTTCTCTGGCTAATTTGAAAGGAAAGAAATACCTTAAGTTACTAAAGTTTGTCTGGAACAGTAACACAGATGATTCAGTACATGAAAGAGTTGTTTTGGAGCAGTTGCAGCCAACTACAAACTTAGAGAGTCTTTCCATCATTGGTTATGGAGGAACAAGGTTTGCTGATTGGCTAGGACACTTTTCTTTCTCAACCATGGCATCTATTGAACTGAGGGGGTGTAAGCATTGCTCCTCCTTACCGCCACTTGGCCAATTAGGCTCCTTAAAGAACCTCTCAATTGTAGCATTTGATGCTGTTTTAGCTGTAGGACCCGAATTCTACGGGAGCTCGCCTATGGGGAAGAAATCATTTGGATCTTTGAAAACTCTGCTCTTCGAAAAGATGGAAAATTGGCAAGAGTGGAATAGTGCTGGCCGAATTGGAAGTGGAGCATTCCCTGTCCTCGAACAGCTTTACATAAAAGACTGTCCGAACCTTTCCAAAGCAATGCCTAGCAAGCTCCCTTGCTTGGAGACCCTAGTTATTGAGGGGTGCCAGCAACTAAACATGGCTACAATTCCAAGTGATCGGGCCACCTACTGCATGCATTTAGTGGATGATCACCGAGATGTGTGGTTGAACAGATTTGCTACTATTAGGCCACAACACCTTCAAGTTGTTAGATTCTTCTGTCATCATCCGCCTCGGCAAAGTTTGGAGCTAGTAAATGGCCTTTCCACTGCTTTAGAAGAGATTGAGATTTGTAGATCTAACTCACTGACACACTTTCCTCTCCACGCGTTCCCCAAACTAAAGATGCTCTCCCTCCGTTACTGTGATAGTCTAGAGTCCCTTTTAGAACTTACAGACAGCACAATTAACAGTGATGCTAGTTCTCTAGACTCCTTGGAAGTTTCCAACTGTCCCAATTTGGTGTCATTTCCAAAGGGTGGGTTGCTTGCCCCAAACTTGACACAACTACTGTTGCAAAGTTGCTTGAAGCTGAAGTCACTCCCTGAAAAGATGCACTCACTGATCCCTTCTCTTCTGCTACTGCGATTAACTGACTGTCCGGAACTTGAGTCTTTTCCTGAAGGGGGTCTGCCCTCCAAGCTACAATCACTTGAGATATATGATTGCAGTAAGCTCATAGCGTGGCGTCGGAATTGGAAACTGCAGTCACTACCTGCACTCTTGCACTTGTACATTGGTTCGGACATAGCAATGGAATCCTTTCCTCATGATGAGGCAATGCTGCCTCCTACTCTGACATCACTTGAAATTAGTGATCTGCAAAATCTCAAGTCTCTTGACACCAGATGTTTTCGACACCTCACCTCTCTCGAAAGACTGAAGATCAAGAACTGCCCTGAGCTTGAATTCATACCAAATGAGAAGCTTCCATCTTCTCTTCGTCTTTTATCTATAATCATGTGCCCATTGCTAAGGCTAAGATGTCAACAAGAGAAGGGGGAACTTTGGCCTATGATTTCTCATATTCGTGACATATTTGTCTACTGAGCCATTATGCCACACCGATGCTTCCTTGTCTCGTCTGATCAGTGATCAATGGTTCTGCTAATTGCACATTTTGCTATGGGCCAAACAAGTTCTCGTCCTCAGAAGGACGGAAGGCTCTCCTTCGTGCACCTACCCGGCAAGATGCGCCCTTTCTTTCACTAGAACCGCCAACAGGGGCGGGAAGCTAGCCCTGAAGTGCCGCTAGTCGTATTTCGACCAGCAGAACTTCAGCAACAGTCCCGTGACTTCTTCGGGGAACAGTTCTTTTGCTTCGCGCTCCGAGGGAGCTTCAAATGGTACGCCAGAACGATGCCATATGCATTGTTTATGTATTTGTTGTTGGGTTGCTTCTTGATATGGTCGTAAAATAGGAGCTTGTTGCATTTTCAACGTGCGAAGAAGTTATACAAATTGAACTGGGTTAGAGCTAGCGATGAAGTTTCTACCTTTGTTCTCCATGACATAGAAGGAAAGCCAGTTGAAGTATGAGCGAAAGCACATTGGTTATTACCCCTAAATCCTGCTGTCCTGTGATATCTGATCAGTTCTCTTTCACATTGGGTTGTAGCTGGGGAGTTGCCTGCTAGGGTTTATGTGGGACATTCAATCTAAAAAGGAATGCTGCACTTACAGTGGAGCCTCGAGTACTGGAATTCACAGCACTAGAGGTTAGCTTTTTGCTCCATGCTTGTTCTGGAAAAGAGTATTACATAATGTATCACTTAACTAGCTATCTGAGAGCATGCTTCTTTTATGATGGTTGACTGTTTTCTTTCTTTCATTGCTGTTTGATTGCAGTCGGGAGCGTTCAAGCTTGTCGGGGAAAGTTTTGTGTTGTTACAATTTGCTCCTGCAGCCGGTGTTCGCCAGTATGATTGGGCAAGAAAGCAGGTAATTCTTTTTGCAATTATTAAACGGAGTATTTGATTACTTCGATGATGAGGATTTCTAGTATTGTAGAATGGGAAAGAATATGTTCCCTGGAGATTGCTCTGATATGTGCTGTCTTCAAATTGCTTATTTGAACAAGCAATCCAGTTTTTATATAGCATTCAATAAACTGTGGAAGCAATATAAAACCTTATTTCTTTTTATAAAGTTCCCTATGCATGTGGCAATGCAATCATATCAAGTACAAGTTGAACGAATTCTTTCCCATAAGGTTTAAGGGCGAGCGATTACGGGTCTTGTAGCTGTTGGCTATATCTACATGATTGTATGCGTTTCAATCCTAAGTCTAATCAAACTTCTGTTTTTTTTTTCTGGAACAGCAGAACTCTAACCTTTGTTTGAGAGAAACTGCTGTATTATCTTTGCTTTTGGGACTATACATGCCTTTGCAATCATAAAATGATGTTTCACTTCCATGCCTTTAGGTATTTTCGTTGTCAGTTGCAGAAATTGGAACTGTAATGAGTCTCGGAGCAAAGGACTCGTGTGAATTTTTCCATGATCCTAATATGGGGAAAAGGTAATGCCCAATTCTTGAAACACTATTTAGAACATTGAAGGAAGACATAAGCTTTATTGACATAGGTACTATTGGAATTTAGACTATGCTAGACCTCTTGATCTGAAGAATCTTACTTGAATCGGTCCTTTACAGCGATGAAGGTAAGATCAGGAAGGTATTGAAGGTAGAACCACTCCCAGATGGTTCAGGACACTTCTTTAACCTAAGTAATATTCTATCCCCTTTAATTCATTCTGTTCCATTGTAGTCAGTCTTGGTTGCCTGACAGTGCATTTCATGATGTCTTATAGGTGTCCAGAACAGACTATTGAACGTGGATGAGAGCATTTACATTCCAGTTACAAGGGCAGAGTACACTGTCTTTGTCGCAGCTTTCAATGTACGTCTCTCTCTCTTATGTGGAGATGGTTCTATGAACACAGTATCTGTATGAATTATGATGTTTCTTATCTTGCCTTCTTTCTCCTGAATACATTATAGAAAGTTAGAATACGCCACTTGGAAGGTCAATCGACAGTTGTTCAACTATAAACTACACTACTTAGCCCTAAAACCTTCTAATACGTTGTCTGGTCATACTGGCATTTGGAAGAAGTTATAAGATGTAGAGTAGTCTGAAGTCCGAACCTTCAAACTCCTTGCTGTCGATGTGATTGAAGATTGGTTGGCATGGTTTTACATGTCAAAATAGCATGAATAATTGAATCCTCTGTTCATTTTAGCTTATCAAAATGGTAAAGACTTAATTCCTCATTCTTTGTCTACTTTGCAGTACATGTTGCCGTACCTAATAGGCTGGCATGCGTACACAAATTCAATGAAACCGGGCGACTCGAACACCAAACCAAATAATGCCAGCCCGAGGTATGGAGCAGACTACGAATGGAGCAAGTAGTTTACTGGTGAGGCAACAACACGAGAATCTGCAACAAAAAGGCGTATTCTTTCGTGCAATTTTTTCCTGATTGGGTCCAATCATACGTGTGTATGAGTGTATCATGTTGGTTCATTGATGAAGGTCAACAAATTTTGCTTCTGCCATAGTTCTGTCTTCTCTTTGCGGGGACTTAATTATGTGTATTGCAGGATGTAGCGCTTTTCCTACAAGCTAAGTATTGAGAAATTAGTCAAGCGTAGTTTCCAGGTAACTACAGTGGAATGTTGGTCTCTTTAGGTTAGGTTGGCTGTTCAAGCATATGAACTTCTTAGGCTGGCTGCTGGGGTTTGACCTGACCCTCTAGAGGTCAGAAAATGGAAGAGTCGTGACCCGACAGGAAACAAGTTGGAATTCATTTTTTGTAGGGTGGATTTCAGACTCAAACAGCTCCCTAAAGTTCCTTCTTTTGCTTCTTTGGCTTCTCTGCTATCTAAGTCAGGGATGCCCATCCAGTTTGGTTCAACCAAATTGAACTGGACTGCATTCATTTTCGGTTTCTTTCATTGCAGAACAAATCTGTTTGATATCTGGCTGCCACTTCATCGTCCTGCGAGTTGATTTCGAAGTGAATTTGTGCAGAAATGCACAGAACTGCTCGAGGAAGACGGCTTAAGTCTCGAATCTAATGCAAAGTCGCACGACATGGCGGTCGGCGGATGTCTTATTGGCTGCCATTGCCAGACTAGCGAAGTTAGGAAATGCCTTAAGATAATACCATGAAAGTTCCATCAATTAGTACATAATAATGATTAAGTTTGGGCTATTAGCTTATGTTAATCCAGAAGAATTTTGGGGACTACATAATCATGACAAGAATATGTCGACTGCAATGGCTGCTGGTTTAGGTGGACCAGCTCCTAACCTCCTTGAGTCAAGTTTCTTTTGGACTCCATTTATCTAATTAGTAAGAGTATTTGTCTAATTAATTAATGACCTCTCAGATTCATTCTCCTTGTATATGCATACATCACAAATTACAAATATTATTCCATTCCATTGAACTTCCACCCGTTGATGGATACGGGGACTTGACCAGGCTTTTTTAATAGATATATCAACAAAATTTACAAAGCGTAAAAAAAGAAAAAAATTCCTATCACGACACCAATCAAATGAAGACAATTAGGACTCTTAATAAGACACAAAAAGTGTTTTATGTGCCATTTTATAGACATCTCTGATGATTAGTTTAGAAATAATCTTAAATTTTAAGAGTACATCAAGAGCTAATACCATCTAAAGACAATTTCGACCGAGTTTTAGAGGACTTGACTAGGTTTATAAGGAAGAAAAGGGTTGAAATTTTGCATATAAAATGAACAACTAGAATCCGTCATTAGAGGTGGGTGAGTAAGTGGCTGCTTGAGTTAATTAGAATAATAATAATATTTAATTTGTGAGATCAGCCTCGAGAATTTTGGGGACCGAATTTGAGAGAGTAAGTAGTTGTGTGTTCGTGGCAAAGAATGGTCATTCAATTAACTAATTAGGCAGCCCATTGACCTCGCGTTATAAACAACTGCCCACTAGATTTTTGCATTCTCTGGGGTCGCTCCCGCTTAAATTATTTTGCAGTATTTAATTATAAATATTAATTTCTATATCATTAGATTTTATCATTCTAATGTGGTTTGTCCCACAAAAGTTTTTTGGTTGCAGAAATTTGTTGAGATTTACAATAATTACATGCAGGTAAATAAAAGTGATTTCTTAAGTAATACCAAAAATCTGTTTAAAAGTCTAAACTTGTTGTGTTCTCATTCATCATTTAGTTGAAATAGGCAAGGTCTGATTGCTACGTGATAAGATTTGTCATTATATATTTGGATAAGCTAACAGGGTTGAAAGTCTCGTTTTTGTTTTCTGAAACGATGTTGTTCCACTTGTGATACTTGACATTTCACAAATGCAGCCGGTTCTAGGCTTAATATGAAAATCGAGAGTGTACCATGAATAAACTCTTACTTGTACTCTGTTACGATATAAAAAGAAATATTACGTATTATTACAAATCGAATGCAAAATGATAAACACTGAAAATTGATCTTAATCGAAACATTTTCTTGATTAATATATTCAAATCATTGCAATTTTTTTAAATTCGGACAAGATGGACTTTCACGTTGACACTTTTGATGAATGGAGCTGGAAGAAGTACTACTGGATTTCAATTAGATTTATGACCAAGTTGATCAGTTAGATTGTGTAGGTCAAATTGTGCTCCCAATTCCAAATAATTATTTATTGCCTATTTTTATATGCGACCATATATATTAATAAATTAGAGGGGGGATTGATGATATTATATATATATAGATCTGTCAATTGCCACTCAATTATCTGCAAACCATTGACCTAAGAGGCGTGAGTGATGCCAGACATCTAACATAACGTTATACACAATAAGGTCTTCTCTTTCCCCCAAATACGTCTCAAACTGAGCTTTTCGTTAGATTGGCGAGTATTATGATTATTATGATTATTATTATTATTATTATTATATAAAACACGCCTGTTCCTTCTTTGTTTTACTTCATTGATATTTTCTCGGGTAAGTTTTTTTTATAGGAGTGATACATGTTTCATTTTTATGATTAAGGTACTATTTAAGGGATTTGAACTTGTGAGACCTTTAGACTTTAAGTTAGTGGTGTTACCACTAGGCCAAACCTTTGTTCGTTTATCATATAAGCTTTAATATTTAGCTCGATTAGCTATGCCAGAATGAAAAAGTAAAATAGAGATGTCATTTCCATAATTGTTCGGAGAGGTTTAAAATTCCGAACGTAGCCTTTCAAATATTAATGCGTGATATAACTTGATATAGTTGGATGTATACGTTACCACATGCTTCATCGTATGAGTACTAATAGACCGTAAATATGATCGGTGTAAACTGTTAACTCATGGGTCTTCTTTATGTCATCGATTTTGCAGGTGTTCATAGTTGTATTTTCGCTACAGAGTAGATTGGTACTCCATTGTACCTCCTGAATTTTGTTTTATTCTTTTTTTTCGAGTTATTGGAAGAAAAAGAGAAGGAAGATTTTAAGAAAGAAACTAATTGTTTCCAAAGAAAAGGCAAATACTATTATAATATCAACCATCACTATTAAAAATCAAAATGCTTCAAATAAATGATCAGCCGGCAAACACACTGGCAGCACAGATATAAAGAAGCCCTAAACAAAGAAAAACCCTAAAACCAAATTATTTGGCAGGCCATGTCGAACTGTTATAAGGTTGGTATACGCATGCATGTATATATGGAAAGGGACAAAAGTTGAAATTCTTTGTGGGTCTTGATTAATTTGCCTCTACTTTGTTTGTCCCTACATATATATCATTCATGCAAGAAGCTAACTAAAAGCGACAAAGAGAAACGTTATTGAGATATAATATGATATTAATTAATGGAAGGCATTGATCAATTAATTCCAAATATAATTTTATTGAATATTTGAAACTTTGGCATGTATCCTCCACGAACGCCTCTACATGCTAGAGTTACAATAATAATATAATATAATAACTAGCTTTATTCTCAAAAACTAATCGTAGGCTTCGCCTCTACCTCCAAATTAACCACCCCGAGGAGGTTTTTTTTTTTTTTTGATAGACCCCCGAGGAGGTATTGATAAAATCTCACCGCAAAATTCCTTATGTCCTTTAAAGCAGTAACAATCCTATACCATATCTTCAAAGATTAGATTATCAATTGTATATTTTTTTTTATTAGATTTGCTGTCATATTAAAGTACAAAGTGTTTGAATCTCACCTAAACCCATTGAATCCTATTTTTTTGTTCTTACAAAAACTACTTAGCTACTTGAGCCTCATATCAAAGTTGGGCAAGATCAGCCTCTAACTTGACATTTACATCACTCGGATACCCAAACACATTAGTTTGAGCTCAACTAATTATCTAGATGCTGACATGTCGAATATATATATCATGCACATAACTCCGGTTAATTCACAACTCCGGTTAATTCATGATCTAAATATCAAATCTCAAACGGGCGTACGGTAGTCTAACGTATGCCCGGGTGTACGCTAGCCTGAACCATACATATATATATATATATATATATATATATATATATATCACCTCATTTTATGACATTTTCAACATCATTTCTTCATATTTTCAGTCATTTTAACTTGGATTTGTTTGATATTTGCTCAGAGGTGTGTTTGATAACCTCTAGAGTATTTTTACACATGTTATGTCTTTATGGGTGGTTTTGGATATTTTCACACCAATGAATAAGGTAGGATGGTCATGAAATGAAAGATGATGAGAATACAAACGTCTGAATTCAAACGGTAATGGATTTGGAGGTTGGACGAGTGAGATATGGCCAAAACAAGTAAAATAGTGAAAGTGACGAACATATATAAGCCAAAATAGCGTCCTAAATCCACACTATACCCGCTATTTTCTAGGATCAATAGTCAAAATTAAATTGCTCTCCAAAGCTTAAAACCCACACTATACCCACTTTTGCACTGCTTTACTTTCCATTTCAATTTTTGTATATTTTAATTTTCAAACCTGTTACAGGGGGCGAAATTACCAGCCTGCCTCTCTTGTTTTTTTTTTTTTTTTTTTGAATTATTCTAGGCCATTACATAGTACTGATATGGATGGTGGATGATGGACTTTTGTAATAGTTTGTACGATAAGAGTTTTGTATCCTATCCTTCACTTGTATTCCAATAAACAGCCTCCAATTCTTTTTTTGTCGTGAAAGTCCGTTGAGTGTTACAGTAATTCAACCCCAAGCACAAATCATTGATTTTTCCCCATCACATTTCGCCAAAGGTGTGGTTTAGATTGACAAAAGTCATTGACCATTCCTGAGAAAGGACACAATTTGGTCTTATTGGCCTAACGTATGGATTACCATATACATTTCACCTTAAAAAGCCTCTAGGATCGATTACCAATTTTCCATTGATAATTGATATATATATATATAGACAGTATTATTAGTTATTACTACTGGGGTTTGAAACGACGGACGGTCGCGGCTGCGATAAAACGAAAACATTTGACCATGACCGCCGCGGTTGGTTTTTGGGCCTTACGAATGTTGAACGAGACCGCCAGCAGTCACTTTGTCTATTATTTTGTGTAACTTGTGTTTCGGGAATATTTGATAATTGATTTCCTACATAGGAATCCTTTTCCGTCAAGAGAAGTTTTTTTTTTTTTTTTATATGTAAATTTTGTCTAGAAAATCAACTAGAAAGTATGGACTATGGAGTAGGATATCAATTAACTTTCTTCAATTTGTATTTATGCCTCCTCAAGTTTCTATAGGCTCCAAATTGAGTTATCCTGGAATTGACTCTTCATTTATGGAGATATTGGAGGGTATATTCTTTACCTGCTCATTAACTATTTGACTTTGAGACATGGTAGACTTTGGATTATATCTTAGATCACGTCGTGGATAGGGATGACAATTACGACCTGAACTGTTTTACCCGACCTGTTTGACCTGTTTTGAGACGGGCATGGGTATCTCTCATCGACCTGACCTGTCCCGACCCGCCCCGTCGTTATTGCCTAATTTACATGTAATCTTAGTTAAATTACTTAAGATTTTTATTTTATTACCTCATATTTTAGCTATAATAAAGTTGTAAATAAGTGAAAGCATCAATTTCTCCAACAATTTAACTATATTTTATCATATTATGGTTTGTTTCTTGATCTTTTAGTGAAAATAATGAATATTTCTAATATTTTTTAGGGTAAATACAATATATTAGCCACAACTATTATGAAGCGGGGAATTATAGCCACAACTATTGAAATTCAAATTATTAGCCAAACGTTAACTATCTGTTAACAATTTCATTAGTAATACTGACTAAACTTTTATGTTTTGAAGTTATAACCTAAAAGCATTCCTACGTGGCCGCTGTCGTGGCCGATGACGTGGCCTTCTCCGTAAAAAATTCAATAACAGTAACAGACAGTTAGCCATATCTTGACCTGCAACAATAGTTATGGCTAATAATTTGAATTTTCATAGTTGTGGCTATAATTCCCCGCTTCATAATAATTGTGGCTAATATATTGTATTAACCCTATTTTTTATATAAATTACATATCCATTGGGTCGACCTACCCCGGCCTGTACCCCATGCATGTATAATTACCCGACCTGTCATGGGGCGGGTATCTCGATACTCATACCCGCCCCGGACCTGTCCCATTGCCATTCCTAATCGTGGAAGACAATTTCAATCCTGGTGGAGGATACCAATATGCTTTATGTACAACCCATACGAAATTCTCCAAGTAGTTTGCTTAATTACTATGGACACTATGGTAATCCCTCTATTCAATACTTTTCGAGTTTACAATAACTGGCCTCCGTCCTCGCTACTCAATTCGCTTACCAAGTCCAAAAATTCTCGTATGCACATCTTTTTCCTCCTCCTTTGGTCATCCTTATAATGCCTCCAATATGGCCTCCTCCTCCACCTCAAACTCAACTTCAACCATATTGTTCATCAAGGTTGTGCTATGAGTTTGGTAGTGAAGTTTGAAGAGCGCATATGACTATCCGCACCTCGTTATTAGCATTTTGTATCTTAGATTGCTAACCCATACCTGGCTAAATTGCTAGCTTAATTATCAAGACCGTACGACATGACAAGTGACCTAGCGCTTGACTAACGGTCAATAGAGCTGACCGTCCAATTTGATGGTCAAAACCCTCTCCAGACCAAGCAAGAAAGTATGGGGTATAGTTCGGGCCAAAGAAACAATTTCAGAAACTACTGAGTAAAAAAAAAGTTTGATTATAGATTAGGCCAACATAAAGTATTTAAAAAAAAAAAAAAGGAGAAACAAGAACAAACAAATTGACTTGTAGCTAGGCTAGCTTGTCCAACTTACTCATTTGAAATTTCTAAGTTAAAAAAACGGCAACATGCAGGGCTGAGAAAGAAAAATGAATAAGATAAGCCTTTGCTGATCCAGCATTGAAGTTGAATACTAACAACACAAAAACAAAGACAAAGTCAACATCATCCATCATGCATTTCTTTAATCCGCTTCCTTCCTTCCCTTCTTCCCCCACACCAATATATATATAACACAACTCTCTCTACGTACCAAAACCCCTCCCTCCCCACTTGCTCCAAAGAAAAATCCATCAGACCATCACCACCAAACCAACTCTCTCTTTTTCTCTCTATCCATTAATGGCTTCCCCAATCCAAAAGTCCTCATCTCCTCAAGAATCACCACATACAATCACCGCCATGAAACGTGAAGAACAAGCCGTCGTAGTCTCTCACCATCTGTCGCCGCCTCAGGACATCACAAGCAGCGAGGTACGTACTGGTCTCAATAACTCGAATTGTTAGAACAGGTTCAATTATGAATTCTGTGAATCACTTATTCGTAGTTCTATTTTAATTGTACCGAAAAAATTCAGGAGCAAGAAGAGGAAGAGATGTTAAGATCAGCGAAAGCTGAGATGGGGAACGTGAAGGAAGAGAACGAGAGGCTGAAGCAGCGGATATCCAAGATCGCCAACGACTACCACTCTCTCCACACCCATTTCCTCCAAATTGTTGACCACCGACGCGGTGGTGGTGTTGCTAATAAGAAGCCCATCTCCAAGCCCGATCCGGCGGCGGAGGAGGAAGAATCCGACGAGCTAGTCTTCTCCCTCAGCCTCGGCAGAAGCGCCGACAAAAAGGAAGGGATTTTGGGGAAAAGGGATTCTTCTAAGGACGGAGTAGGAGTAGTAGTAGAAGAAGGGCTATCACTTGGGTCAATGGAATATTATTCTGCCAACCCGCCGGAAATTAATGATGATACCAAGATAAGGTCTTCGTCGACGGAGGACGGTAAGGACGAGGAGGAGGAGGTGGTGGCGGCGGAGGCGTGGCCGCCGAGCAAAGTTCTCAAGACGATGAGGACCGGCAGTTCGGATGACAAACAGGAGGAGGAGGAGTTGCAGTTGCAGCCGCAGCTCAAGAAAGCTAGGGTTTCTATCCGAGCCAGGGTCGACACTCCCACGGTCAGTCATTAATAGTTCGAACCTGTAACTTCCAAATTAAAAACGCTAGACCAAATTTTTGTTCGTGATATATAAATGAGTATTTTTAATGGTTTGTGATTTGTTGGGGATAATCATGCAGATGAGCGATGGGTGTCAATGGAGGAAATATGGACAGAAGATAGCCAAAGGGAATCCATGCCCGAGAGCTTACTATCGCTGCACCGTCTCCCCAACTTGCCCTGTTAGAAAACAGGTACCCTACGCTACTTAGTCTAGATCACCGTTGTTAATTACTTAATTATGCATTTCTTTTCTTTCTTTTTTTATTCTTTTCCTTGCCACTTGGTTGCCCTATTAATTGTGATCGCGATTTGCATCTACCGAACAAAGAAGAGATAAACGGGTTTAGAATTTAGATCCAAGTTGGGAGTTGAGACTGTTTCTTCTTCTCTAATTTGGGGGTCATCAATTACGGATGAAGCTTGACATTAGGTGGAGTGCTTGACTACCATTTGCAATTTCTTCCTTCCTTTGATATAATAACAATTTTAACATTCATACATCTCTCCCAATTAATACGAGTTATTCTCTTAACGAGATTAGTTGATTTATGACATGGTACTAAAATTTGTTTGATTGTGTGGTGTCACGTGTTCAAATCCTCCTGACACCAACATTAACAATTGATTTAAAACACATGGGATTGTGGGTATGTGCAAATTTGAAGCCCATGAGTTGTCTTTCATTTGGAGATACTGATAAAAAAGTGGTAAACATTCATAGAGTTAATGAGCCGATCTTTTGGTTGACCATATTTTAAAATAATAAATTACGGTCCGCTCGTACGTCCTGATTACATACTATATCCAATCTTGAGTTGTCGTCTCTTTTTGAGCTAATACCAATTTTATGAATTATGAAATTTAGCGAAATGGTTCTTTATATTCCAAAACTTTTAGAAATAGCGATTGTGTGTTTCAAAGTTTTGTCTGCTTTAGTGTTTCATTTACCTTGCCTATTTCTCAATTATATTGTTCCTGTAAAAAAAAACACATATAATGAGACAAAACCCAACTCTTTGCAGGTTCAAAGATGTGTGGACGACATGACAATCTTGATCACCACATACGAAGGAACCCACAACCACCCTCTTCCACTCTCGGCAACAGCCATGGCGTCCACCACGTCGGCAGCTGCATCAATGCTTCAATCCTGTTCCTCTTCCTCCAACCCTAACTCCTCCATTTCCAATCCTTCCACCGCCACAAGGCCACTCCACCAGTTCTACTTCCCAAACTCTTCCATCTCAACTTGCAACTCTCACCCAACCATCACCCTCGACCTTACCACAACCTCAGCCCTCAGCACCACCAACACCAACAACAACAACCACCTCTTTGCCTTCAACAACAATCGATCATCGCCATCGAATTTGGCTCCTAGATACTCCTCCTCTTCCACGCTCGACTTCTCCAACTCCTCCTCCGTTGTCTTGCCTTGCAACACAAGCAACATGATGTTAGGTTACTACTCGTCGACCTTCGGTAACTTGTTGGGGAAGCAACCGCCGCAGCCAACACCACCGCCACAACATTCGCATCAAGAGCATTACCAACCAAACGGCACGCGAGTTGGAGCTGATGATGATGATCACATGACAATCGCCGCCGCGACCAAGGTGATTGCTTCCAACCCAAGTTTCAGGTCCGCGTTGGCCGCTGCGATCACGTCGTTCGTCGGGAATGGTACAGGAGCTCGCGATGAGGTTCATAATCAGGAAGGGGAACAACATCAGCCATTTACAGTATTTCAAGGTAGTAACAATGCAGGGAATGATAACGTCATGATGAGCTTGTTCCCGCCAACAGCAGCCAATGCTGCAGTGGTGCCTAGAGTGCTTTTGTCGTCGAACAATCGGGCATCTATAGGCCGTCCGTTTTCAGCTGCTAATAGCGAGGATCGGGTTGAATAGTTATTTAGGTGGTTAAAAATGCCATACGAAAGCTAAATATTGTAACGATCTATATTATTACAATTGTGTACATTTTTATCTTATATATGTATGTGTATCTAAATCAATATTGTCGTGCCAATTTGGTTGAAGGAAAACTAGGAACCGTTGTTGTTGGTATGTTCATGAAGCTATTGATCATTTTTCACACAGGAATTGAACTAGCTATCGGGAGTTTTGGTGTTGTGTACTACGTACCATGAAGAGAAGAAAACTAATATATAATAATTTTTATAAACTCGTAGCAATAAGCACTCGATTATTAGCAGTAAAGATCAATGATTTAATTAAATATGATACATTATTACGAAGGTACCTAGTTAATATAAAGTTAGATGAGCAATTCTACTATACTTTAAAGTATTAGTGCTTCAAAATACAACTTGAAGTTGTACCATAACGTTAAAGTACAAATTGAAGTTGTATCATAAGGGAATTTGACCATTATGTTGTGGTACAACTTCAAGTTGTACAATAACATAAATGTACAACTTTAGTTTGTGCCATAAAAGGGATCACTACAGGAAAATTGGTTTTCAGTCACGGTATCTTATTCACGGTAAGTTTTCCCGTACTTAGATATATGCTAATAATCACGGTAAAATATCCTGTAATTGATTGTGTAGTTCTAATCACGGGAATTATTTTAACAATTTTGAGGCTTCATTTACCGTGTCTAATTGTTAGTCACGGTTAATTACCGTGAACATTGCTCTATATTATTTTAAATAATATCTAAATGAGAAATAATATGAATGATGAAAGAAAATTCGGCTCCCTATAAAAAATGTTGTTCATAGTAATTCACACAATTTTTTTTCCATAATAATTCACATAATTGCCTAATTGGAACTTTTTTTTTATTGGCGCCTAATTGGAACTTGGGACTCATTTAACCTGAGACTTTTAGTTTGGGACACGTTTAACTTGGGACAATTAACTTTGAGATAAGTTTAACTTGGAACCAATAATTGGAAATTTGGAACTTCATGAAAATTGCCTAATTAGAACTTCGTTTGAAAAGTGCTTAATTGAACACTTAATTGGAACTTCATGAAAATTACCACACCTGAAAAATTCCCTCCCACAAAAATTTGCCCAAAAGTTCTCTCCCGCAAAACTTTATCCCGCCTGAAATTCCCTCCCACAAAACTTCCTCCCGCCTGAAAATTCCCTCCCACAAAACTTCCTCCCGCGTTTTATTCTCTTCTTCCGCAAAAGTTGCTCTACCGAAATTCTAGGCGCCAAACCCCAAATTTTTTCACTCCAAATCGAAATTTTTGGCTCCACTAAACTCGGTAATTTTGCTCTCAACTCTCCCGCGATTTCTTTACCATATAAAAGGGGAAGATCAACAAGGTTTTTACCTTTTCCCACTCCCTGCGTACACAACCTCCTCATCCTCATCCACTTTCTCTGCGTACACAATCTCTCCAATCCGACGCTCAACATTTCATTTGAAATTTCTTCTCCCTGCATGCCCTGAAGATTACTCTAGGCTTGCAGCTGAGGTATGTTCCCATTCTAATCTCTTTGTTTGAGCTGGACAAGAAATCCATTATATACATACATCCCCTTTCTCTCCCCTGAAGCTGGGTGTCCCTTTAACCCTTTATGTCTACGAATTAAACGCATGCAATTGGAACACAGCAGTTTAGCACAAATGGGATGAAAGAAGTATCCATTCCAACTTGAGGGATTAGATTAATTTTGTATTTGTACTGGGTTCTTATATTTGTTCTATTTTGAGGAGATTAGATCTCGGCTTGTTGATTTCACATTATCCTTCAGTTACATCATTACGTTATTGTTCTTTTGTGTTGTAGAATACATAATAAAGGCTGCTCAGAATCTAAAGGTGAACCGTAATCAGAACCTTAAGGCAAAGGGTGGTCAGAACCTTCAAAACACTGGCCAGTCTCGTGACAGTGGCAACAAAGCTACCAAAAAAGCTCCAGCAAAATATGTTGCCCTTGGCTCACTTGGGAGGAAGGTTCAAAATCGACCATCGGCTTTCTCCACCTTAACATCATCTTCAGATGTGTCTTCCACATCTCTTCCCATGCCACAAACAACACCTAAAAGTGGTAAGCAACTTATGTAATTCTCCATGAGGTTATACTATTCAATGGAATGAAATTATTAACTATCGACTCATAATTTGCAGCTTCTCCTAGGGTAAGAGAGCCCTCTGTTGTAACAGATAACATGTCACAAAGGGAAAGAGAACCCCCTATAATAATTGATAATGTCACTGTTCAGAACAATATACGCTCACCTCCAGTGGAACCAGCTATGGAAGCTGAACCAGCAATGGAAGCTGCACCTGTGGCTGCTAATGAAGCATCATCTAATAGAGGCAATGTTTAAATTAGCAATTTTGAGCAGCTGCTTTATTGTTGGATTAACTTAGGTGATTTGTTTGTTGATTATGCAATGATTATTGCTTATTTTTGATGTCGTTGCTGCTGGTTTTTTTCTATCTCTTGACATTGCAGTTAGAAAAAAGAATGTACGAGGGAGAAGCATGTGTAAGGCAGTTGCTAGACTTAGGCGTGGAGAAAAGTTGCCAATTTCCTTCTACAACAATCGTGGTATTGGGGCAAATCGGGCAACTTGGTCAAGCTTTATTGGATTGGTTGTTCGCAATCCCCAGATTTGCTCATTTAGATCAAAGAGATGGAAGTCGAAGGGTAGGGCAGAACTTGAACACATGTGGGCTGCAGTTACGGTAAGGAGGAGTATGTGATTGTGTCTTATGATGAGTAATTGATGTTTTTTGAGTGTTTAAAGACATCTAAGTTTAATGATTGCAGGAATATTTCTATAATCCCAATATGATAGACTACAAGTATCATACTTTAATGCATATGCGTGATCGTTGGAACAAATGGAGGTCTGTCTTGTATCGTGGATATGCAAAACCATGTGGCAATGAAGAAGAGGCTATGAAAAACAAGCCAGATGCAGTAGGTAGTGAAGAAGATTGGGAGTGGTGTGTGAAACATGTTTTCTACACTGATGAGTTTCAGGTTGTTACCAAAAGTAGCTAATATGATTTGATAATATGTACTTGTAACTAGTATGATTTGATGAGATAAGAAGCTCTAATTTTCCCCTCCCTCACAATGCAGAAACTGAGCAAGAATAATGCGCTGAATAGAATGAAGAAATCTATGAATCATCATAGTTGAAGCAAGCCTAATCGAGAGTATTATTATGAAATGGTAACTTTCTGCTATCTTTGGGTTCATTGATGTTTAATGATTTATTCTTGAGTGGATCATTGTGGTCATGTGCTGCTGCCGTGTGTTTTTGCTTATGATGTTATTAGCATAAGTGGTGGTTCAGTTGTGATAAGTTTTGAAATGAAATCACTGCTGCCATGAGCTTCTGTTTTTACCTGTTGGTTCAATTGTGACTGATTTTGAAAAGAAACCACTGATACCATGTGATGTTATTAATAGAATTATTGGATCAGTTGTGACTAGAATTACAGCTGTCATGTGATGTTATTAATAGAATTATTGGATCAGTTGTGACTAGAATTACAGCTGCCATGTAATAAATGACCGAATTATTGTGAATGGAATGTAATTACTACTGCCATGTTCATTCAAATCATGATTATAGGGTGGAAAAGATGGGACTCCTCCAACTATTGATCAAGTGTTCTTTGAGACACACAACAGCGGTGGTGAGATAAAAGAGCAAGCTGCAAAAGAAAGACATGTATGATATGAGATTTTTTAAGTTATGTTCATCTAGATGTATGTATCTGATATTTACTTGAGTTGGTAATTGTTGATTGTTTCATTTTGTCAGGCTGGACTTGTTGAAACACGTGAAGCTAATCCAGATTTGGAGCCAATGGAGTTAGTGGAAAAGTATTTTGGAGAACAAAATCATGGACATATCATTGGGTTTGGAGGTGGATTGAGGCCTAAAGACTTGAAGGGTTCAGATGCATTGAGCAAGGCAGAATTGGCAAGCCAGCTAAGACACTCTAACGGAGAGAAGGCAGACATGGCAACTGTAATAGCAGAGCAAGCCAAGGTTATTTCTGAAATGAGAGCCATGATGGAAAGGATGGAACAAAGGCATGGAAGTCCGACTACTAATCAAAATGGTCAATCTTAAGTACGTATCATTCACTTTGTCCAAATCTGTTAGTTTTTGGGTTCGGCTTCTATCTTGTGCTTTATGTTTGGTTTGTGTCTAACATTGATTGTCCATTTATTCATGACAGATATGGAAGTATGGAATCGACATATATGTAAGTGTGGAGTAGGGTATGATTCATAGCTGATATAGAAGAGTGGAATTGGATTGGAGGTGATTCATGACACCAGACTTTGCTACTAGAGGGAAGGATGAAACTTAACTCTAGAGTAGGAGTTTTAGATGTTTGTGATCTTTTACATCATTTTGGATGCTTGTCATGTATTTTGGGATGGTTAGAAATATCTAAAACTCTTCTAATTACTGATGTGATATGTATAACATCTGTAATTCTTTTGATTACTACTGATGTAGTTTGTAGTATTATAGGTGAAGTGTTCAAATTTCTATAAATATTATAAAAGGTTCTAGAAAAAATTGAATATGTGATGGCTGCTTCTTTAGTTATACACTGTCGACTCCAACTCTGGTGGTATAAAAAAAGAAACCAGTGCAACACAATTCCAAATAAATATTACAAAAAGTGTCATTCCACTACAGGAGGATTCAGCTGGAAAAAAATGAAGGAAAGACTGATTTTGAGTTACGAGTTATAAGATTCAGCTGGAAAAAAAAGAAGGAAATATTGATTTTGAGTTATATTGTTGTTTTGGAAGATCGAACCATTCAGCTGGTAAAAATTATTATGAACATGCTATTACTTTAACCATCTCGGCAAAGTCGATTCTCATAAGATTCCCTCATCCGGCCTTTATTAGTAGCGACTCTATTGCAATCCGTGTAAGACACCAGATGGATGCTTTGTAGGTTCATCAAACTTTAAGTGATCGTAACTTTGCGCTCGATTATCCGTTTGAGGTAAAAAAAATTATTTCATATAATTTTTCGAGATCTATTAAGTCGCAAACGGCCGAAGGCGGTTTGGTCCTGAAAATTTTCAAAAAGAGTTCATTTAATAGACAAAACGAAACATTTTTTGATTTCGTCAAACTTTGAACGGTCATAACTTTTTGCTACATAACCCGATTGATGTGATATATGATTCCCCTTGTAGAGAAGTTGGTTTACCATACTTTATAGGTTCAGTTATGTTTTTAAAGATCGTAATTGATTCTTTTTTAGGTTTGGGTGTCGTTTTAGCATTTGATTAATATTGTTTTGGATACAACTTTACCACAAATGTTTCTTTGGTCTATTGGATTTCATGCTTGTTTTGGATATAAATTCTATAGAGAACAAGGGTTCGAATCAGTGCAAGCGCGCTTTACTCTCTTCACTTTTTTTGTCCCTTCTCTTACAATGCGAGGCAATATTTAGAATTAGAATATAGAAACCTTACTTTACTTTTCTCTTTCACTGCCTCCCCTTCTCTCGACTTCAAGAATGGAAATAAACCTAAACCTTACTTTCCCTTTCTCTTTCCACTGCTTCCCCTTTTCTTCGAGAATGGAAATAAACCTAATTTGAAAACCACATTGTTCTCGATTCATGGCATGATTCTATTGAATTCGAGCTGTTTCAATTTGAATCAAACAGAGAATCTCCATCTTCCTCGTTCTCGATTCTCTACAATACGTTCTTCATAGCTGAGCTGAGCTGAGACGTATTGCGAAGCGCGATGCTGGGGTCTGGAGCAGAGGCGAGCTGCTGCTGGCTAGAGGGGAGGGGAGCTGAGTTGCTGCTGCTTGCTTGAGTGGAGCGGAGCGGAGCTGAGCTGCTTCTGCTGCTTTCTTCAGCGGACAGGACGGACAAGCCAGACTTCCTTTAGTGGGGTGGATAAGTTGTTGCTGCTTGCTTGAGCGGAGCTGCCAAATAACCGGCCCAATATAATCTCCACGTCCAGTTTCAGGACATCAAGGTAAGTTCACTTACTGTTGTGCTTTAGTTTGTGAACTAGATCTGTAGTTCATGGCATTTCTGTTTTAAGTCCATTAATGTGTGAACCAGTCCATTGATGTGTGAACCAGTTCAGTAGTTTATGCCATTTCTTTTATGTTTTAGGAAATGGCGCCAAGTAAGAATTGGATGCTTGTCAATAATAGACTAAGTGATGAGTATAAGAAGGGAGTCTCTGAATTTTTAGACTATGCATTTCAAAGGAATAGGGGCAGGTACGAGATCAGATGTCCATGTATTAAGTGTTGCAATGGGAGGTCGGGTACCCGTGAAACAATAACTACACATCTGATCATTTATGGAATTGTCTCAAACTATACCTTTTGGTGCCACCACGGAGAAAAGTTAGGTGAGGCATTTGGACCAGCAGAAGATGAATGTGTTACTGATGCTGCCGAGAGTGAGAATGAGATGCACCAGGTTTTAAGGGATTTGTATCCTAACATTGACCTTGGCGAAGAAGAAATTGCAATGGATGTTCAGGAAGAATACAGTGAAAGGCCAAATGATGGAGCAAATAAGTTTTATAGATTGTTAAGTGACTCTGAGCAACCGGTTTATGAGGGTTGTAAGAGTTCAAAGCTATCAACCATAGTCAAACTTCTTCACATAAAGTCTCTTGGAAGATGGAGTAATGAGTCATTTAACATGATGCTGAAGCTTTTGAAAGAGGACCTATTACCAGAGGGTTCATCTTTGCCAGACTCATATTATGAATCAAAAAAGGGTTGAAAGTGGATGAACATGGGTTTGTGAGTGTCAACCTCAACAGAATGCTGAAGACAAATGAACCATTTGTGCTAGCAAGTCAAGTATCCTAGGTATTTTATGCAGAAGACAATATCAACAAGAATTGGCACTTGGCTGTAAAGGTGTTACCTCGAGCTATGGCTGTGTTGGAAAATGATTACAACACTGGTGAAGCAAGTGAAACGGTTCAACCTATGGATTGGTAATGTTTAATTCTACTATTAAAAAGTGATTTTGTATTGTCAACCATGATTAGTTTGCTCATATTACACTGTTCATTATTGTAGATTGTTTTTCAGCAGACTTATTGGCAGCAGACTTTGACAGCATCAAAGGAAATTATGTAAGTGAGGATAGCAGGTGCAATGTGATTGGATTTTGCAAATGCTAGGAACTTTATGCTATGAACTCTCTTGATATGTTTGCCACTGTTATACACATGTAGCGGCTTCTGAGATCATTTTATTGTTGGAAATTGCATTGGAATGATTATACACGTATAGGTTTTGCTGCAACTATACTCATTTCAGGCTATCTAAATAATTTCACAAGCATGTTGACTAATATACCCATGTACGTTTTGTTGTTCATGTGCAATTAGGGATGGTGAACTAGAGGAAGCTGTAACCCACATGAAATGAATTGGATCTGAGTTGTTATGGTGCAAGGAATGGGCAGAGTGCAAGAAATTGAAGTAGATTGTATTAGTAGCTAAGACATTTGAAACTCTTTCAATTGTTATATTATTTTGCTTACACTATTGTTAGCAAGAATCTTTGATACTTTAATATAATCAATTTATAATTAGAATCGATAAAATTTATAGTGCTACTGCTTTCGAAAAATATTGTGATCAGGGTATGTATGTAGTCACAGAAAATACTGTGACTAGCTGCTTGTGGGTAGTCATGGAAAAATCCCGTGTTTAGTGAACTCTACGTAGGCATGGGAAAATACCGTGAGCAATGGTTTGTAATTAGTCACAGGAAATACTGTGAATAGTGGTTTGTATGTAGTCATGGTAAAAGACCATGACAAGTGCTTTGTAATTAGGCATGGGGAAATACCGTGACTAGTGATTGATATTCAACCACGGGATAACTAGTCACTACAAGTGGTAAAAACCGTGACAAATGATTGATATCTAGTCACAGGAAATGATTTGAACACGATAAATACTGTGTTAAAAGGTGTACTTCCCATCTCTAATTGAGTTATTTTGTCGAATTTGTGTTCCAATATTATGTATCAGTCACGGGACTCACCGTGATTAATAGGCTTAGATTATCACGGGAAACTGTACCGTGACTAGTTATAATTACTCACGGTATACATTTCCCGTGACCTTTACAATTAGACACGGAGCTTTACATTATGGTAAATTTCCCGTGTCTGAAAATTTTAAACACGGGAAACACACTTTCAAACACGGGAATTCCCATGATTAAAAAGGCTTTTTCCTGTAGTGGATTATACAAAAGAGTATAGGCACAACCTAAAGTTGTACCATAACGTTAAATGTATAATTTTAAGTTATACCATAAAAGCAAAAACTAAAGCACAACTTTGATGTTTGCTCGAAATGGTTTTCAAGAAAAATACTTTGGGGAGACCTTGTGTCATACTTGGTCTGCATGGGGACAAGCAAACGGTTAAGTGTGGGAATATGATTCAGGCTAAATTACACATGTTTATTCCCTAATTTCTTAGTCATTTGAGTTTGGTTTCTTGCATCTCAAGCCTATTTCATGCTAGGTTGTGTTCATTTGTCACATTCTAGGCCTTAGCAAGTAAAGGGAGGCATTGGCGCATCGAGTCAATCGGAGGTTGTTTGGAGAATATTATCACTTATTGTTCGTCCTTTGATGAAAGCATATTGATTGAAACTAATGAGACTAGGGAGTACATCACTGATTCTATTTGCCAATATTTTTTAGACACATTTATAAAACACATTACAACATGATGTGTTTGAAGTTTTTCATTGTACGTATCTGCATTAGGGACTTTATGGATGAGTGCGAGGATAGTTGAGTTTACCTCTGTGAGCATATGATCTATTTGTTTGTAATAGATGGGTATAATTATGGGATTGAGAACATATGGATAATTTTAGAGAAGTTTCCTTCATTGTCAGGGCTGAGATCTAATCCCGATAAGTGTGAGATCGTTTTTGGGGGATTATATTGGATTGGGAGGAAATGGTAATTAGCAAAGATAGATATGATTACCAACTAAGTAAATTCCCGGTGAGTTACATGGGTGTTCCAAAGATAGCTGGTAAAAGTTAACAGTGAATTCTTGCAAGCCTCTTATTAATTTAACAACTAATTTTTGGGGCTGGAAGGAAAAATCTCTAACCTATGACTATGAGGGTAGGCTGGAGCTAGTGGGAGCAGTATTGTATAGCATGACTCAATACTCTTTTTTTTTTTTTTTTTACAAAGGACACTGAATTTCCATTACTTGTGGCACAAGCCAGTCATTACAGCAGGGGAGCAACTATATCAAGAATTTGTAACCATTGCGATGGTAACTGATTTCTAGCACATGATCTAGCAACCCAATTAGCCTTGTAGTTGTTTCTTCGATTGAAGTGCTGTAACTTGACCAGCGGGTTCTCCTCCAGAATACGCTGAATGAGGCCCAGCCTTGCTGCCGCTCGCCATGGCCACGATTTGGGGTTGCTATGGAATGCATTCACAAGCTGTAGGCAATCAGATTTCAGCAGGCAGGGCGCTCTGAGGGAGACTGCAAGCCGGGAACCCTCCAACAGGGCCAAAGCTTCTGCTTCAAGTGGGGAAAAACAATGCATGGGCTCAGCTCTACCATATCACACTTGACCATGGCTATTCGAGACAACGACGCCATATGCCGCCTTCTGGGGCTCGTGAAAGAACGAGCCATCGCAGTGTACTTCAAAGTGATGAGTACCTGGCGGTGGTGAAGAGTGTTGTTGGGGTGAAGTGAGCTGAGAAGGTGGGTGACCCTCAGAAACTTTCCTTGGGCATGTGGTCCATTGTAGGTGGGCAGATGCCGCCCTAGTGATCGTTGATGGGGGCCATGGCTTTGCATCCCTGAAGATCTTCTCATTCCTTGTTTTCCAGGTCTGCCATCCTAGGAAAATGATCTTCTGAATCGATATGATTGTATAGCTCTGTCGAAGGGAGTCCAGCCATTCCAGGAAAGAAGAAAGCGGAGCAGGCCGAGGCAGAGAGGGCCACTCTTGGTTCCATCCCTCCGCTGCGTGGGGCAGGCAAATAAGCAGTGGTGGATTGATGTGTGTGTTTGTCCTCCCTAAAATTTTTATTTGTGAGATTAAAAGGATTTGAAGTAATTTTCTATGGAGAATTACAGAGGGTGCTAAAATCACGGCTCAGGTTGGTTGGAAGCATTCTTAGTTAGAATGAGGTTGGGAGTTAGAGACTTAGCTTACTAGAAATCAACATGTACTTTTAGGCATAAAAGGGCAATTATGTTGCAACAGGGATCTTAGTTGGTGTTTGGGTCCTTGTTTACAAACTCAAAGGTAATTTTTGGAGTTTAACATGTGAGATTGGCTCAACTGGAAAAAGCTTCTCAATCTCAGGGCACAAACCCTTAACCTCTTTACCTCGAATAATGGAGAATTGTATTGGAAGTCACAACCTATGAAGAGGTACTCTATTAAAAATATATGGGAAACAATCAAGATTAAGCAACATAGAGTATAATGGAGTAACTTGACTTAGAAAGGCATGATTGTTTCTCGGAATAGGTTTTCAGTTTGGCATATTATTAGAGGAAGAATTCATCCTAAGGAGAAGATGAATAGATGAGGTTATACATGTACTTTATGGTGTGAATTATATCATTAGGGTTTGCAATTTAGGGATCACCTCTTTGTGGAGTGTGATTACTCAGAAACCTATTCCAAAGTTTGTTTGTGAGAGTTACTTCCCAACAATGGGATGAGATGGGAAAATGAGTTGAAGTAGGTTGTACATGAGTGAGGGAAAATATGAGGTTGCAGTTGCAGATAGATTCGTACGACAATCACTTTTGAGCCATGTGTGAAGAAAAAAGATGTAATAGAATTTACTAAAGGACGAGAAAGAGAGCAACAGGTTTTGGTGAAGTGATCACACTCTTACCTATTTAGTTGATATTAGATATACATAGTGTTGCGATAACTATTTGTAACCTCTGTAAAGAGGTATGTTTAGTTGATAAGATTTTTTTTTATAAGGGCGAAGATTTATTAAAGACAAAAATCACAACAAAATCAACCCGAACAGGGGGCATGGATAACATGAAGTTGGTAAGGTTATTGTCAACTTTCCTTTATAATGAAATGGAAAATATCTTATTCATAAAAATTGTGATTATCGCTTATGAAAGTATTTCTGGTTATGAGTAATCAAACGAAACATATATATTATTGAATGCTAAGTTATCAAAAGAAATGCTCATTTATTAAATAAAGTTTTTTTAGCCAAGGGATGGGAAATAATTTAATTTTTTTAGAAGGAAATAATTTTGTTATGATGTTTAACATCGTTAATTAATTAATTAATCACATACATAATCAAACAATGATCGGTAGGAATAGGATAACTCTCGGCGGAGATTGGACGCACCGAAAAAATGAATCCATAAAAAGAAAACAAAAATAGACAATTGAAAAAGGAAAGGGAGAAATAAAAATATCAGAATTATAGGTCTAGCTGAGAAGAGATCGCTGACTGTACCTCGTTCTATCGATTCGCCGAAATTACCTCCGCTTCCATTTGTTGCCTCGGATCCTCATGGATCCTTCACTCTGATCCTCGATTTTCCAGTTACTTCCACTTTCTGTTTGGTTTCCTGCAAATTCAGCAAAGCTTTCTCTTTCGGGGGAAAGTTTGTAGCTTTTGCTGCCGGCTTTGTCTAATCGGTGAGCTTCCAGCTGCTGAGTGCGTGTACCAGTTCCCTGTTATTGGGGTTTTATAATGGATTGATTGGAGTCTTTCCTGTGGATCTAGGGTTGCTGTTGCTTTTCGTTGATTGTTCTTGCTTTCTATTGTCTGCAAATTGAAAGTTGGCTTTGTGATTTCTGAAGCTTCTAGGTTGCTGGCACTTAAGTTTGTATGATTCTTTGATGAAATTGTTAGATGGGATTGCTTAATTTGAGTGAATTGGAACACAATCGTCAAGTTCTTGAGCCTTATTGTTGTTTTTCTTATAGCTGGTTAGAATGACGACTCCTTCAAGGAAGAGACTGATGAGGGACTTTAAGAGGCTGCAACAGGATCCTCCTGCTGGTATTAGTGGCGCTCCCCAAGACAACAATATACTGCTCTGGAATGCTGTCATATTTGGGTAAGTGAATCGAACAATTATTCTCGGTGTGTTCCCGTGTGCTAATATGCAGTTTGGAGGGTGCTCTTATAACTTAATTGTCCTTGTTCATGTACTTGCAGGCCTGATGACACCCCATGGGATGGAGGTAAAGTTTAATCCATAACAAACAGCGCCATGCTCTTAATGTATTGGGCAGTAATGTTGATTATAATTAAGACTTGTGTGAATGTTCTTTATTGATCTTCCAGTGGTTTGAAATTTGATCTCTGTGAATGTCACTCAGCTCTCTATATCTCCTTGTGATGAATTCTCCATGTACATGTTATTGTGCTTCAGAGATCTTAGCCCTGCTGTTTATATATGAGCTGATTTCCGTGTTAACATTGTTTTCTTTTTACCTCCAGGCACGTTTAAGTTGACACTCCAGTTCTCTGAGGACTATCCTAATAAGCCGCCAACAGTACGGTTTGTCTCCAGAATGTTTCATCCAAATAGTAAGTTAGAATGTTTTTGTGAGTTTTAATCTCTTTAAACCGTTACATCTGTCCGCTACCTGGCTGTCGACCTTGGATGTAGTTGCATCTGTTTGACAAATATCAATCGCTACCCTTTTGGATCAGTCTATGCAGATGGGAGCATTTGCTTGGACATCCTACAAAATCAATGGAGTCCTATATACGACGTGGCTGCAATACTCACATCAATCCAGGTAATTACCTTCATGATAAGGAGTTCTTCAAGAACAGTTTGAAGACAACTATTACTTGGCTCACTGTGGTGATGATAAAAGTTAGATGCGAGTCTGGCGTTCATGCATCTTAATCACAACTTGTAACCTTATTGGTTGCTTAAAGATCCTGATTTGCTGTGTACTTAGAGATATGGAGTATTAGATGTTTCGGTTGTCATTTTTATTGTGAACAGCTATAGGTAGTAGTTTAAACTAATCTGGATTGTTGTGTCATTCTGGGAAAAGGGGGAAAAAAAAAGATTGTTGTGTCATTCTGGAAGGTAAAAGATAGCCTGTGATGCTGTTCTCCTAGCTTAGTAGATTGATTTGCAGTTGCTTGTAAACCTTCCTACTTTTGTATATCTAGCAGCAAAACTCCATTCTTAGGTTTTACTTGTACCTGCTGATCAGTCCCATCAGCTGGTTTCTCCTTACGAAACTAGTTGTGGTGAATTGACAAAACTTCTTTCTTGCTAAACACTCCTGTTTCTTAGTTCCATTTTCTCAAAAGATTTTTCTCTGCTCTTCTTCATGACACCATCTTTAACAAGCTTTTTCTTGTCTTGTCACAGTCTCTGCTATGCGATCCCAACCCAAACTCTCCTGCGAATTCAGAAGCTGCAAGGATGTTCAGTGAGAACAAGCGCGAGTATAATCGCAGAGTGCGAGAGATTGTTGAGCAGAGTTGGACTGCCGATTAAGGTTTGCTTTTTGGCATGTAGACCCAAAATGGTTTCAGTGTCTCGAGTTTAAATTCAATTCCTATAGGAGAGGACATCGGGTTGTGGTTGTATTCCTCCTTGGATGCTTGCTTGGCTTTGTTGTACTGCTTAATTACTTGACATTCTATCTACTTTTTAGCTAAAATTTATGTTGGAACTTGGAAGAGCAGCAAACAGACACTTCTTAAATTTATAGTTCGGTGGTTAATTGTTACACTGTCGACTGTCGTTAGTGAATAGTTTACAAAACCTCTCGTATAATAGTTTTCCGGTGAGGAAAATCTAGTGTTTGAATTTAATGCTTGCATCTTGACTTATTGAACAACGATTAATTATATTGTTCATGTCTCTCCGAACAATGTTTGAACCAAGGTGTTTGATGATTTTGATGGCTTTTGGGACAAACTAAGTTACGTTACCCTACTCCTATGGAGGTTCAGTGAGAGCTCCAGAAACTAAAGGCTATGACTATGACTACATTGCAGAGAAAAAGATAAAATTTGACATTTGTTGTAAAATGTTTGGTTGTGGGCTTTTTTTCCATCTTCGTTTATCCTATTTATAGCCATCGAGTGTAACTGCCTAGGTAATCGTCTTGGTAACTGCTAGCTGGTCTGTTGCTCCAACCACCTCGGGACTCCTTACCCCATCTTGGTAACTGCCAACGAGTCGTATGCTCTAACCACCTTAGGGGCCCCTTGTCGTTGCCTTGGTGGCCAATTGGTAACCGTTGTCTTAGTCTTCACCCCCATTGCCTTGGGGCTCCTTGCCCAGTCTTGTTGACTGGTTGGTACATTATGCCCTCGAAGCTCGGCCGTGTTGGTGTTGGTCTTGTGGCCTTGTCTTGACTGGATGGGGTTGAAGCCCTTAACCTTGCTTCCATGATGAAGTCTCGACCACACCCTTGGCAGCCCTCAAGACTCCATACTTAGTTTTGTTGTTATCGTCTTGCTCCTACTTTTATTGTCTCTTCGGCTTGATACTCCCTGCCTCCAAGCCAGTCATGTCGACCCCTACTACCAAGTCAGCCTTGCCAGTTTGGTCTCTTGCCACCCGCCGGCTTGGTACCGGGACCACCAAGCACGTCTTGAGATTTAGTATCCATATGGCCCCCTAAGGGGCTCTACACCAATTCTCCATTAAGTTGATACCCTGTCAGTTGGGTACCTTGGCTGACAAGTCTACACCCTTGAGGTTCCATACTTGATCTTGATAATCTAGGGATACCAAGCCTGCCTTGTCGGCTTGGTACCCTCTTGCTTGGCAACCAAACCTGGTTTATTGGCTTGGCACCATGTTGCATTGCTACCAAGCCTGTCTTGCCAGCTTGGTACCCTGTTGGCTCCATGCTTAGCCAAATTTCAGGGTTTGGTACCAAGTCCTGCCTTCTGATCTGGTACCGTCTTGGCTTCATACTTAGCCATTTTTCCTATCTTGATACCAAGTCTGCCTTGCCGGCTTGGTATTCTCTTGGTGTCTTGGGACCAAGCCTTGCCTTGTCGGTTCGGTAACCTCTTGACTCCATACTTGGTCAATTTTCATATGTTTTGGTACAAAGTGGAAAAAATTGGGACAAGAAAAATTTCCCAATTTTTTTGTGTGGTGAAAAGTGATTGTCTATCTTTGGTTCGACTTTTAGAAGTGGTTTTTGGCTTCAAAAGTTTAAGCAGAGCCAAACATAGAAGCTCGACTTTTGTATAACTAAAAAAGTGCTTTTGTATAACATAAAAGCAGAAGCTCCGATTTGGAGCTTCTGCAAAAAATCTGTATTGAAAATTAAAGATTATCCTTATCGTATTTTAATTTTATTTCAAAAAATATAATTTTATTTCATTTATATAATTTTAAAATAAATTATAAATCATATTATTTAATATACAAGAAATCTAACAAGAAATCCAATTTAACTATATGTTAGTTTAAAATTTTATTCATATTTAATATTATAAATTCTTTATTTTCAGTTTACATAACCTTTTACATTAAAAATCACTTCTAATAGTTTTCAGTCAAACACTCAACTGTTTTTTTTTTAAGTACTTCTCTAAAAGTTCAAACCAGAAATTGCTTCTGCAAAAGTTACAACAGTGCCAAACTAGCCCATTGTGTGTACTAGAAGGGGGACCATCGTTGCACGTCGAGAGAGAGTCACCACTTCTCCAACCGCCAGTGAGGAAGAGTCTGGTGCAGCCGCCGTCAACGGTTCACCAGTGTCTGTTGGTGGAGAGTCTTCTGCGAAATCTAGGATGAGACAGACGAAAGGGGTGGAGAATCGACCGGTGGGCTATGCTTAATGTTTAATTGGGTGCGATAAAAAATTTATAAAATGAATCAAGGGTAAGTGAGGGATATTTGGATTTTTTTCCAGTCCCTCTAACAGTCAATTAAAAGATAATTAGACAGAAGGGTATATTTGTTACGTTTTAAGAGGGTATATTTTGTAAAAAAAAAATAATGAATAGGTACATTTGTTAATTTGTTGCTAGTAATTCTTTAGTTTAACCAATTATTATGGTAAATTTGGCAAATTTCACCCGCCAACTTCCGGATCCATTTGGGGTTTATTGAGCCCAATAATTACGGCCCATATCCAATTTTCTTTGGAAGTTAAAATTCCTGCTGCAGATCGAACAACGGCTGTGCATTCACGTTGCTTGCGGTGCCTAAAACTCAGGCACGTAGCAGAAGCCAAAACATGCAATGCCATTTCCAATGGAATGGGCAACCTGAAATCACACCACCCAAAAAACATCAAAATTGAATCAAAGGGAGCCAACACGAAGTGTTCTTCCTGTTATCCCTTAAAATTTGATGCCTTTTTTCCATAAAACTGCATTAAAAAGGGAGCAAAGCTTTGACTTCTGAGGTATGTCATCTCGTTCCTTGCACATCATTTGGTATTTCTTTACATCGCACATATGGATCCCAATATAACAAACATGCAAATCAATGGTGATTTTGTGGAATTTCTTTGAATCTAACAAAACATGCATATCGAGGAGAGCCTCAAACCTAAATGGCTATATCACATCCTGAAATCAAAACGAAGCTTTTCGATACCCATGTATTATTGATGGTGGCAGTAAATCAAGATTCAGAAATGTGCTGATCATCGTGTTCTTTTTAGATTCTGAGTAAGAAATGAATTGCATTTATTAGACCAAAAGTACGAATAATCTGTGGATGAAGGGGTATTAGTCCTAACCCTGATAGGAAGAGGCAACTAAATTATGGTTCCTGCTCACTGTCTTTCCTAGAAACAAAACATGGCAGAATCCAAGGATGACAAAGACAACTCGAAACTCGCTAGCTGTGATGCATATTTCGAGACGGTTCAGGCCAGGAAGAAACTACCACATTCTTTGCAGGAGACTTTAACTTCTGCATTTGGTAGGATCCCTGCTTCTTCCTTCCCAAAAGTGCCTGGCGGCAAAGGTATAACAGCAAGTAGCTTCATTTCTTGCTTCGTTCTTTGTTCTGCACGGTTTGACATGTATGTTATTTTTTCCCCGCCACCAAGTCATTGAAATAGAGGCAGATACGACAGTCTGCCATGCGGTTAAGGTTCTGTCGGAATGCAATATCATGAGCGCACCGGTTAGAAACCCAGATGCAGGCGATGGCCTTGACTGGAAGAAAAGATACCTTGGAATCATCGACTATGCAGCTATCATTCTGTGGGTGCTGGAGAGTGCAGAACTTGCTGCAGTAGCTATATCTGCCAGCACTGCTACCGCTGCTGGGATAGGAGCTGGAGCTGTTGGTGCCATTGGAGCAGTAGCATTGGGGGTGACCGGTCCTGCTGCCATTGCTGGCTTGACTGCAGCAGCTGTAGGTGCAGCTGTGGCTGGTGGTGTGGCCGCCGATAGAGGCGTGGGAAAAGATGCACCTACAGCAGTTGACAGCTTAGGGAATGACTTCTATAAAGTTATCCTTGAAGAAGAACCCTTCAGATCTACTACTGTAAGTTAACATAACATCATTACGTACCAGTGATATTCATAACTTTCTTTCTGTAAACCATGCAAAAATGTGGTTTCAAATAGGCTGCCGTTAATTCCACTTGATGCTTGCTTGTTGCATGGTTGGGGATTTGTGGGCTTTGTATCCAGGTAAAGACGATCCTAAAGTCATACAGGTGGGCTCCATTCCTTCCAGTTGCAACAGACGGCTCAATGTTGAGTGTCTTGCTTTTACTCTCAAAGTATAGGCTGAGAAATGTACCTGTGATTGAGCCTGGGAAGCCAGATGTGAAGAACTTCATTACACAATCTGCAGTAGTGCAGGGCCTGGAGGGATGCAAAGGAAGGGACTGGTTCGATTGCATAGCTGCTTGTCCCCTTTCAGATTTAGGACTCCCTTTCATGTCCCCAGACAAGGTGATGGCTTGTTGTGATAAAGCACTTCTTCTTCTTCTACCAGGTAAATTCTATTCAGCAATCCTCAATCTCGGTAATGTATTGTTATATTCCTGGCCAGGTTATCTGCATACAAAGTGATGAATTGATTCTAGAAGCTTTCAAGCTGATGAGGGATAACGAAATTGGTGGTCTTCCTGTGGTGGAAGGGCCAAAAAGGAAGATCGTTGGAAATATAAGCATAAGGGACATTCGATTCTTGCTGCTGAAACGTGAACTATTCAACAATTTCAGGTTGATTTATAAAGGATAACATGAGACAAACTTCGAATTTCACTTACTTTGGTTCATTCATTTGCTGATATCTCTGTTTACCTGAAATTCTTCCAGGCAGCTTACTGTAAAGGATTTCATGATGACGATCTCAAGTCATGAGAATAGCAAAGTAATGCCGCCCATAACATGCAAATCAGATGCAACACTCGGCAGTGTGATTCACCATCTTGCTTCAAAATCTGTCCACAGGATCTATGTTGTGGAAAACCAAGACGATGGAGTTGTTGGTGTGATAACACTTCGAGATGTGATATCTTGCTTCATATATGAGCCACCAAACCTTTTCGATGTCTACTTTGACTCTTCAATCAAAGAAGTCCTCGAAAAGTAACGCATCTGCTGTCAAACTTAGCTATGTGGGTTTTCTGAATATGATAGGTTGTGGGATAGCACATCATGCTAACTCCCATTTCTTACTATCTGTGCCACTCCTTGATGATAGAATTTATATAAACGTTAGGTTGGTTGAAGCTGAATGTAACGTCCCAGCTATGTTGTGAGCTGACATTTGTATGTAATTTTCGTTCTTATGCGACTCCCATCAAACTATATCCAGGAAGTTTTTTCAGTCTTCTGTCATTTATCATCATTCTGATTCTCTCTGCATCTGTCCATCTTCCACCAGCAGCATATATATTTGAAAGCATCACAAAAGGAGTTGGATCAGATGGGTCCAACTCTATCAGCTTCATAGCCACTTGTTCTCCCAAGTCGGAATGCAAGTGATGCCTACAAGCACCAAGCAACGAGGCAAAGACTGAAGTGGATTGCTCTGGTACAATCTCCATTAGCTTCCGAGCTTCATCCAACCTCCCATTTCGACCCAGAAGGTCAATCATGCAACCAAAATGCTCTGGCTTGGGAATCAAGCCATATTCATTAGTCATGCTCTTGAAAACCTGCCATCCTTTGTCAACTTGACCAGTGTGACTGCACAGTGACAAAATAGCAGTAAAAGTACCCGAATTTGGCTTCATCTTCTCCTTGAGCATCTGATAAAAAATCTTGAATCCTGATTCACTCTCCCCGTTTGCTCCATACCCTGATATCATGACATTCCAAAATGCTGGATCACTAGGCTTCAGGTAAAATCCGTCAAAGATCTTCCTTGCCCAAGAAACACTGCCGCATTTCATATACAAGTCAATCAATGCTGTTGCCAGAAATTCATCATTTTGAATATCAGTTCTTATAGCATGCCCGTGGACCTCTTTCCCATGCTGCATGGAGGAGAGAGATGCACAAGCTCGCAGTAGACTTGTAACAGACTTCAAACTGGGGATGGTGCCAGAAGCTTGCATCTTTCTGAAGAAGTGAACAGCTTCACTGGCCTTATCCAACTGTGCAAACCCACTGATCATCGAGTTCCATGTTACTGAATCGGGTTCCAACCCTTCGGATTCTAATAGTCCAAACAATTTAGCAGCGGTGTCACTTTGACCATTTAACATTAGACCAGAAATCATCGAGTTCCACGTGACCAAGTTCCTAGTTCTATTATCTAGTTCGCAAAAGACATCATATGCCCACCTCCAAGACCTACATTTGCAATACATGTCAACAAGAGTTGTCCACACTTTAGTATCTAGTGTCTCCATTGTCTTCACCATGAATCCATGGACTTGCTTCCCAAACTGAAGATACAAAAGACTAGAACAGGCAGAAAGCACGGAGATCAGAATAACTGAATTCGGCCTCTCACTTGAGCTCTCCCTCATATCCTTAAAAACGTTCAACACCGAACTGGGCATCCCATTATCCAGAAGCCCAGAGACAAAAGCGTTAAAGCTCACCACATTCTTGTTCGGCATCTCTCCAAACAATTTACTAGCCACGATGATCTCCCCACATCCGCTATACGCCGTCACCAACGCCGTCCCGACATAAACATCACCGCCCACGCCCAGCTTGACCGCCCAGCTATGCACCTGGCGGCACAGCTCCGGACTGTAGCAAGCAGTCAGAACACTCGCCACGGTAACTGAATTGGGCCTGAACCCAGCAAAACCCACCTCTCGAAACAATGCAAAAGCCTCCTTGCAAAGACCGATGCTCGCCGATCCCGAGATGGCAGCATTGAGCGAGGGCAAGTTTGGGTGAGGCATTTCAGCGAACACTTTGACTGCGTCATGCGGCAAAAGTAGCTTCATGTACATGTTGGTGAGGGCAGTGGCCGAGTGGGTGTGGAGGTGCAAGCCGGATTTGAGGAGCTGGGCGTGAAGGATTTGGCCCTGGAGAGGGGAATCGAAGCTGGCGCATGCTTTGAAAAGAGGAGGGAAAGTGAACCCGTTGAAGGGAAGCCCGGCGGAGTGGAGCAGAGAGTGCAGGGAGATGGCTTCCCTGTAGAGTCCACGGTCAAGCAGTTCGACTATGTTGCGGTTCCGCTGCATTTTGATCCAACAAGCACTTCCTCATTACCTGCTGCTAATAGCCTAGAAAAGAAGACCCGGCGCGAATTCGGCTGCCAACTGTTTGAAGCTGGAAACCGGGAAAGCAGTTGATGTCGCCTATCGGCCCTAGTGGAAACCGTGAGCTTGTTCGCCGCGCGCCGGTGGAAACTGCAGAGTTCGTGAGCCTTTATGCCCTGGAGGCCCAAACCCATGGATTGGAATTCGACAATGGACATGAACGAAGATTTAGGATGGAGATAGATTTTCACTTCTTCAATACGTGTTGGGCTGGGTCCAATTTGGCTCCAAGAGTTTCGTAGGAAAAGAAGGGTTAAAACTTCACCCACCATTTTTGGTGGGAACTCTTATAAAATTCAAAAGACAACAAAATACTGAATTTTCATAGGCTTGAAGTAAAGAGAGCAGAGTCGAGCAAGAGGTGGGAGAAGGTTGGAGGAACAAGTATGAATCATCTGGAGTGAAAATGTGAGAAAGCATTGGGCATATGCTCTCCGGATATGAATACTGACTAAGAATCAATTTGGCGACATCAGTTGTTGTATTTAGCCTTAAGATCCCCACGCTAGCCCTAGCTATGGGAAATTAACTCGTGTTAGGGGTTATAGGGGAGTAAATCGATATCTTGGGCTTCCTTGAATCGTTTATATAGCACAAAGAAGGATACCTTTCATTTCCTCGATGAGAAAGTGCTCAAAAAGCTCCAAGGGTGGAAGCAGACTACTTTATCCAAAGCCGCACAGGGTATTTTTATCCGAACTTTGGCATCCAATCTCCAAGTCCATGTAGTGAGTTGTTTCAAGATCTCAGTGGAAATTTCTCGATTGATGAATGGTCACATGGCCAGATTTTGATGGGGATCCTCAGAGACGTATAGAAATCCAATCCATTGGGTTGCATGGAAGTTTAGCTCAGAGAAAGTTACTTGGCACCCTACAATTCAAGAAATTTAAGGCTTTTAATCATGCTCTGCTCGCTAAGCAGTGCTGGTGAATTTCAACTCGGCCTGATTCCCTCATAGCACTGATATACATACCATGGTACTTGTCAAATAGTTCATTCCTATATGCTCCCTCAGGTTCTAATCCATATTGGGGTCGGCAAAGCCTTACTTAGAGTTAGAAAATTGGGGACAACGAAGTTATTAACAATTTCTCTCATAGTTGGCATCCTTCAAATATCTCATATGCTCCTGCGCTTAGAGTCCCCTTGGTTACTAAGAGTCTTAAAGTCTCTTTGTCATCTTAGATAGTTGCAAATAGTGACATGTTCCTAAACTTCAGTGTTTCTTTATTAGAAATTGTTCAAGCTCATAAGATCTGATCCTATCCCTAGGAGGCTAGGACTCCTCAAAAGGATCGGGTTTCCTGGAATCTCACTGAGAGTGGATCTTACATCCTTAAATCTTGTTATAATATTGCATCAGGATTGTCTTTGGAAAACTCTCAAAAAGCTCAGGCCCATTGTCTAAGAGTTATCCTTTCCACTGTCCATGTGCTCAATTCTTGAGGGTTGAACTGTCATATGTGTTGCCATGTCTGTTGGAAGCACCACAAGACTATTTAACACAGTTTGTTTATATGTCCACTAGCGACCAGACTTTGTTCATTAGTGGGACGGGAAGAGTTTTTACAATCAACCCCAAAATCCAACTTCAGTTTCTGGTGGCGTTATTTTCTGAAATCTTGTCACTTGTAATTTCAGGTTCTCCAATGTGTGGAATTTAGTGGTTTTTTTAGTTCTATCAACGAAACGTCCAGTTCCCTGCATCTTAGTTTTCATTTCAAGTCCGAGAATTTTCTTCATCTCTCCTTCCTCTGGCAGTAGTCTTTCATCATCCCTCTCCTTCGAATTTCTCGTGCCCTCATCCTCTGGGATTTCTAAAGATTAATTTTGATGTGTTTGTTTGTCAATATGCTTGCTCTTGTGGATTGGTTATTCCAGACTCGTCCATTGTACACATTTTGAACATGGTGTCTTAACTATGGGATTTCATACCCCTAGGTTGTAGAGCTTCTTACAGTCGGGTAGTCATTTCACTTGCGGCGGACTGCCAGATTGCGAGAGTGATTTTCGAAGGCGATTCAAAAAATTATCTTATGTCAGCTCCAGAGGGGCATTACGTCTTATTGTCTCTCCAATTGGTCTCGCCCATTTTGCTTGGTTTAGTTTTTTTTATATGATTCTTGGTGTAGTGTTTAGGGAAGTTGATAACACTAAATTGTAGTGTTCTCAAGATCCTATATTTGCTACTGTAAACTTTATATCAATGCATCTTTGGTGTTTTTTTTTTTTGTTATTTTCTATAAATTTGGTAACTATTTGATCAACTCGTTTAGCTAATCTTCCCCTCTAACGCGGGTCGGGAGCTTTCTTTTCCTTAGTAGTAAAGGGGCGCGGGAGGAAGAAACCTGCTTATATTAGACCTTAGTTGTGTTTTTGTATTGTTTTACGCCTTTTTGGTATTATTTGTGCATTTCAGGATTAAATACAACCAAGGAGAATTTAAGTAAAATATTGGATAAAAAATCAATGAGTTGGAGGTCCAGAAAGCACAAGTCTAGAAGGACCGTCTAGTTTAAGTAAGGAGTTGGAGGATACTTAAAGCGACATCCAATATGAGTTACAACTTCGATCTAGAAGACAAAAGTATCCTCTATATCATCTTATACATCATCTACGATGACAGGAGATAATAGAGTGTTTTCCCCACCAACTCTCTATGAATATTCAAGGCCAAAAGCCTCGAATATTATTTCAAGTGTTGTTGTACCACCAGCGAATATCAAAATTCTAACATCACTTATGCAAATGGTGCAACAAAGTGAAAGATTTGCTGGAAGGAACGATGATGATCATGCGCAACATTTGAAGATTTTCTTAAAGATAACTGATCCAGTTCCTGGAAATGAAAGATCACTGCGTCCAACAAAGGCGGTGATGGCCCGGATAGGTGACGTGGCGGCGTGTGAGGCGTCGGATTGTGGAGAAAACCCACAATCCGCACCTCACCGCATCGAACGGCAGCGGTGAAGGCGTGGGTGAGGGCGGATCGCTGACGTGGAAAGCGGGGCTATCACCGCTTTGGTCTTCAGCAGTGAAGTGCCCGCGCGCGTCCACGTCAGCAATCCACGCCACTTCACCGCCTTTGAATCCAACGGTGAATACTCTCACTGCGTCCCTTATCAACGGTCAACTCATCACTGTTGATGTCGAAAGCGGTGATAGCATCACTGCTTTTGTCAAAGGCGGTGATGAATCATCGTTTTGGACCAAAACGGTGATCCTAATCACTGTCTTAGACAAAGAGAGTGATGTTGAAACTGCTGTACTTTGGGAATTAATTTTATAAGTACTGTATTTAGGGAATTTTTTTTAATAATTAGAGTATTTTGGGATTTTTTCCAAAAAAAGTAGTTGTTGAGTGGTTAGCGGTCTCCCCTCTCTCCTCCCACTGTATGCCCTCTATCCTCAGCCTTTTCGCGTCAGACCGTCAAGAAAAAAATGGAAAGGGTGCGCGAAATTACCTCTCCGTCTCCCTAAAGGTTTTTTTTTAATTAATTTGAGCCACTAGATTTCATTAAATGAGCGAATGGAGATGTGATTTTGCGGATAGGGTTTTTTAATATTTTACTCTCTCGTTTTGAGTGATCACAAAAATAATATAAATGGTTAGCCTTTCACTTCCAAATGGACAAGGATCTGCTCATACACACTCCTATCATGTTTGCAAGAACGAAGCTTGAGATCTCGTGGCAGCGGCCACCTCCCGAGTGGATTACTCTCATTTCAGACTGCCCAGTTATTCATTTTACAGGTTTGACGGATGTAGGTGGCCTGATTAGAGATCCCTATGAATTTGCTTAGCAGAGTTTGCTTGTAACCTGGGCATTTGCTCCATTACCCGGACATAATTGGGAGGTGTTGTTGAAGGATTACAGGTGGCGTGGAACCTTGGTCACTGGCGAGTTCGAGTCGAGCTAGACTCTAGATGTGCGCTTTAGTTATTGATGGATATAGAACCTGCAGCAACCACCAGCAAGTGACAATTGTATCCCGCTTCTAGGAGCTCTTGGACCAAGACTGGGAGGTGACTGTCTCCCACCGCGAGGAAAATAAATGCGTGGACTATTTAGCCAGTCTTGACCACTATATACCTCCGGGTGTTTCTAGCGTTCCTATTTCGGATTCTTCCCTGTACCATTTCCTATTGCATGACTCTCAATGGCTTTCTGAACTCCATTTGGTTTTGAATGAAAGTTAAAATACTCTGCATCCTTTTATATAAAAAAATCTATCAAAATAAAAGGTTACTAGGTGGCGATTCGCGCCTTGTCGCTGGCGGATATGGTCTATAGGAATGTATTATGTGGCCTGTTATGGTGTTTTGCTAGTATTATTAGCCTAAAATTAATTTTTTGTTGGCAGCTTTGTCAGTATTATTGACTTGACAATTTAATATTGACTAAGAAGAGATATATGGCAGTCAATATCCGATTTAGTTTTTTTAAAAAATGTGGCTAATAAATGATATTTATCTAAACCAAAGTAGACTCATTGATTATGGGTAGGGTATGAGTGACGTATATATGAGCTTGGAAATTTGAAGATGAGTTTGGGTAGGGTATGAATATTTACTTCCATAATCTAAATGTGTATGAGTTGGGTATGGATACCCATTCATTCGAGGGTATTTTAATTATACATACAAAAATTAGACCTATTTGTAGAACTTCAAAATTTTAGGTACCAAAATGTAATACACAAATATTTTAGGTACTAAAATGTAATGTTCCACCAACATTTTGAAGACTTATATGCCAAAAAAATAATTTTAGGTTATAAATCTAAGGATCTATTAAGTTTAGGTACCGAACTATAATTTGCATAGTTGAGGCTTAATTCCTTTTATGGTGATGTATTTAAGATGATAATTATTAATTAATTTTTTATAGAAAAATGGAAACCATTCATTTGATATGTGTAGATACCTAGCCAAATATTGCATCTGTAATTGTTGAAAATTCTAGCCTGGGTGAAAAAGAAAAACTCTAGAGAGAAGCAAAAGGATACAACTGGAACTCGCTTAAAATTTCACGCCTTCAAATCCCATGGTGTAAAATGATGACTTTCTAATAAGTAATAATCATATATATTTATTTTTAATTAGAC